ACATTGGCGACGCGGCTGCGTATACGCATATGAAAACCGGCCGCGGGAGACCTTTTAGGACGAATCCTAAAAGATGATTTTTAGGATTGCGTGTAACGACGCCGCACGAAATCCTAAAAATCCTTTAGGACTCGTCCTAAAAATTTAAGGATTCTTTTAGGAGTGTCTAACGAGACCCTTAGGATACCATTGTGGACTGACTGGCTCCAGGTTATTCAAGATTTTCTGACATTTTCTGATTTTCATTCATTTAGCTCCATCCAGATTTAAACTCAGGTCTTTATCTCACCAGTCCATGGGTGTGCCAACTGAGCAAGGCCAGTTAGTGTTCCTCTTTTTTTCTTTTTCCCCAAAAAACAGCAGCTGACGGTTCTTGCTCCTTTTCCATTCTGGGGAGCATCAATCTGGTTCCTGTTCCACCGGCAAGTCAGAACGATTACAATGTGTACTAACTCACGCTCCTCTTTATGGTTAGAAGGCCCGAAGGACGGCACTGATTACTTCCCGTGGGAAGCATCTACCATTCTTCACCGCTTCCTAAATTAGCCTGATTGACGTACTTTTGGAGGCGGCTTTACCTCCCTGCTGTTTATATTGTAACCTCCCTGTGGGCGTCACTAGCCTGTTACTCTCAGCTACCTGGCAGCCTGATTTATGTGAGCTGCTGGAGCAGCTGGTTTGGTTTCTCTCTGAATACTATACTAACCATAGTTGCGGCGCACCTATGCGGTGCGCAATGCGCTGCGCACCCCCCGGCAGTGCGCGCACTGATACACGATGTGCGCGCATTGATGCGGGATGCACTATGCGTGGTGCGCTGCGCGACACCTCAACGCGCTGTGCGCCAGTGCGCTGGGGGGTGCACAGGGGGAGCGCATTGGTGCGCATGCTGCGCACATCAATTTGTATTTATTTATTTATTTTTTGAGGGGGGTTCATCAGGCCTGTGCCCCTTCTTCGCGTCGTTCGTGGTGCCTGTGCCGCTGCTTCATGCCTCTTGAGCTGCGCAATTACCACCTTCGCGTAAGCCATTTTTCCTGTGCACATACAGTCCATCAACAGCCCTTTTGTCAGCCCCTTGTGTCGCTCTTGGAGCACCCCCCAATGTACCCCCTCCGACCCCCACTCCCCGCCCCCTCTCCCCTAACCCCCCTACCTCAGCCCCAATACCCCCCAGCACCCCCAACCCCGTTTACCCTCCCCAACCCCTATTCCGCCCCAAAATTTCTGCAGCGACCACCAAATCAAGGCACTCAATCCGACAGAAAGCTTTGAGCAAAAAATTAACAATAATAAAATTAAACAAAAAGAAAAAGAAAAACAGCCACCACCCAATCAAGGCGGTCGCACCAAAAGAAAGTGAAACGCGATTTGAGGATGGAGGAACGACGAGAAAAGAGTGAAGTGGGGATGGCAGAGGGAGTGAGGATGGAGGAACGGCGAGAATAGAGCGAAGTGGGGATGGCATAGGGAGTGGACATGGCAGAGGGAGGTAAGTGGAGATGGCAGACGGAGCGAGGATGGGAGAACGATGGCGAGGGATTTCGCAATCGAACGAAGAAAGAAAAAAGGAGATGGAAGATGGACCGACGAGGGATGGAGGAAAGACATGGGAGGGGGGAAGAGAAGAACGGGGACAAGCACGAGGGAGGAGGAAAACTACGGCAAAGGAGCGAGGAAGAAGAGGAGAACGATGACGAGGGAGGAGGGGGAAGGGAAAAGGGAGGAGAGAGGATGAAGGAGGGAGGAGGAGAAGAAAGTGCCACGTGGATGCAAAAGAAAGCCTGCGAACTAAGGAAAGTAGCATGATGACAAGCGAGGGAGGAGAACTATGTCGAAGGATGGAGGAAGAGGGGGATAACGATGACGAGCAGCTGTGCATTTCCAGAGAGAGAGAGAGAGAGAGAGAGAGAGAGAGAGAGGCTCGTGGTATGATAAGCGGGGGAGTAGGAGAACGATGACGAAGGAGGGAAGAATGGTGAGGAGGAGAAGAAAGTGCCACGTGGACGCAAAAGAAAGCCCGCCAAGAGGAGGATAACGAGGACGAGGAGCTGCGCAGTTTCCACAGGGAGAGAGAGAGAGATAGATAGATAGAGAGAGAGAGAGAGAGAGAGATAGATAGAGATAGATAGATAGAGAGAGAGAGAGAGAGAGAGAGAGAGAGAGAG